GTACATTTGACTTCCAGACTTTGGAAGTGTGCCAGATCCTCTGTCAGGGCCTCTCTAAATATTGTGGGGGAGTTTTTGAACCCCTGGGGCAACCAGGTCCAAGTTAATTGTTCCTTCCAGCCGGTGGCGGGGTCTTCCCATTCAAAGGCAAACATGGGCTGACTTACAGGTGCCAGGCGAATGTAAAAGAAGGCATCTTTCAGAACCAGACAGGTGAACCACTGGGCCACTGTAGGTGTGAGACCTAGGAAGGTGTAAGGGTTAGGGACCACTGGATGAATGGCTGTTGTGGCTTGGTTGATGGCCCGCAGGTCCTGGACAGGTCGGGAGTCGTTAGTGCCTGGTTTCTTCACAGGTAACCAAGTATTAGAAGTTGAGAGTAAATACCTAGAATCTTTTTATAATAATAATTTTACATGGTGGTGCATCTACGTATATGATCCCTTTAATTTACTAAAGTGTTAGTTCTCCGTGGATTTGGAAAAAAAACACTGCTCCTTCCCCTGAGATAAAGAAGCCTACACTAGATAATTCCTAGTACGCTTTTCAGAAAATATTCAGGCCAAAGTCTGTGAGTAGAGGGTTGAGGAGAACAAATAAAAACTAAAATAGATTAAAACAAGATATATAAAATCATAACAGTGCATGTGATTAGAAATTATGTTTAGAAGGAAATAAAAGCAAAAATTTAGTAGATTGACCATAATGATTAAAAAGGAAAAATCGAAGGCTGGGCTCGGTGGCTCAGCCTGTAATCCTGCACTTTGGGAGGCCGAGGTGAGTGGATTGCCTGAGCCCGCGGGTTCGAGACCCGCCTGGGCAACTTGGCAAGACCTTATCTCTACAATAAATCTAAATGAGCTGGGTGTGGTAGCGCGCGCCTGTAGTTCCAGCTACTTGGAAGGCTGAGGTGGAAGGATCGCCGGAGCCCAGCAGGTCGAGGCTGCGGTGGCCGGGAGCAGCCACTGCACTCCAGTCTGGGCAACGGAGTGAGACTCCAACCCAAACAAAAACAAAAAAGGAAAGAGCAAGCAAACCCCACTGCACCAACTTGTTGAGGTTGGGTGAACAGCGGGGTGGGCCTGGCCTCACCTCTAGCAGCAGCATGCCCAGGCAGAGACCCTGTGCTCCACCTCTGATGCTCTAGCCTCCAAAATAAAACCCCAAGGCATGTTTCCTATCTGCCTCTTGATAATGGTTCCTCTGTGGGATGAGTTGTTACAGGGATGGGAGATGAGACAGGGACTTGAGAACCAGGCAACGTGCAAAGGACTCAGCCTGTACAAACCCTGGGGAAACTTGCTCCTTAGAGTTGAACTGGAATGTCCCATTGCCCCTTTCCGGGGTTAGATCACAAGGTTGGGGAGTCTCCCGGACAAATGAACTAGGTCAGCTTTAGTGCATTTCTCAGACATCTCAGGAAGGTGGAATCAGAGACTGGTCCGTTTCTCAAAGCCTTTGGAATCTGATTATCAACCATGTAGTAGAGGGTCAAGGAAGAAGATGCCCAAGCCCATGGAAGACCACTCTTCTGTGCCCAGATATGCCCTCCACAAACCAGAAGGGTGAAAGGTGGCTGCTGGGATGATGACTCAGTAGTGGGTGAATCCTCAGTTCTGCCTTCTGTTCTCGTGAAGGCTGGAGCAGAGCGCTGAATCGAGGAACTTTAAAATGTGCCCAGGCTGGGTGTGTGCATGGGTGCTGTGACTAGTGTAGTTGAAACCAGAAATGTATCTACCCAAGTCTGAGTGGCTGTAATGTCATATAGTGCTCTGTTTCAAAGACGTTCCAATCCCAGATGAATAGTGAGTAGATGTAAGGGTTTGCCAAAACTTTTGCAATGATGTTGCAGCCCTTCTGCCAAACTGTGAATTTGGGCATCAGTGCCCCTTTCCTCACTGGGAGAAGGGCAGTCTGGTGACAGCACCCAGGGCAAAGGCAGTGTTTCCTATTGTATTGCTCAGTGTCACTCAGTCCCTGAGAAACAATAGGCTGATGAACAGATTGCCTAAAAACCGTGTCAAGTTGTAAACTGTCTGGGGTTTTTATATGCCTTCTTCATGAAAAGGTTAACTGTTCATCATAAAAGGCTTTTCAACTAAGCCACCTTTCTCTTCTGTGGAAATTGAACTGAAATATCAGCCGTTTATCATGTGTTTAATATCATTTTCTTACTTTCTTCCTCTAGTAAAAACTGACAGATTTTGGCCATTAAAGTAGAAGGAAAAAAAATTTCAATCCAAGTGCCCTGTTAAATATCACAGCTCATTGTTGATGAGTTTTGGTAACTTCCACTTAACCTTCTAAAAACTGAAGTAAGATCTCTAAACAGCCCCACTAGCCAAGGTAGGGAAAAGGTCTGCACTAATTTCATGGGAGAGAATAGAAAGCCATTTCATCTCATCTCCCCTGGAGGTTGAGGAAATGGTGGACAGGTCTTACGTCTCCTGTGTAAGGGCTCAGAAAGGGAGGCAGTGTGATGGTTGCAACACTGTGTTGGTCAGGAATCTTGGGTTCAAGATCCATAACCCCACTCAAACCCAGCTTAGGCCAAGAAGGAAAGGCACTGGCTCTGAAAGTTCAACTTCCACACTGTGAGCCAAGGCTTCAGGCATAGCTAAATCAAGCAGAGCCATTTGTACTTTGTCACTCTTTGGATTCTCAGCCCTGCTTTCTTCCATGCTGGTAGTTCCTGCACTGTCTTGACACTGAGACTAATTGAGTTGATTTATATCACATGCTGACCCTTGAACTGTGGACTATCCTATGTCCACCTCTGGTTTCCAATTCAGGCAGCTGTAATTGAGTCCTCTGAAAGTCTTCACCTCACCCTGTAATTCGTGGGCCATGTTTTTGCCAGAGGATTTTGACATCACCTGGATCAAGGCCTTGGGGAGGAGGTTGGGGATTCACACACACCCAGGTCCCATCTGGAGCAGAAGTTGCTGCAGACTCTGTCACCAGGCCACCATAGCAGAGAAGCTGAAAGCAAGAAGTGAGAGGTAGGACAGAACTCCTCATCTTAGGAAGAGTCATGGTCTGACCCCAACATGGCAGAGGCCAGGACCACAGAAAAGCTCACTTTGCCCCAAAGAGAGCTCTCCATCTGCTGACTGGTACTGGAAAATCTACTCTGTCTTGCTTTTACCTTCAGCCCACGTTAAGATACAAAAATATCCCTGAGAGTTACTATCAGGCATTCTTACTGTGAAGAATTAGAAAACAGGTTTTGATAAAAGGAGGAAATAAAAATTCTGGGTTCTGGAACCCTGATGAAAAGGAATAAATGGAGTAGGGGTAAGAAATTACAAAGAATATAAAAGACCCTGCCACTTCCCAGCATGCCTGGGACGGATGGACAGGGCAAGGGCTAGGGATGCAGATAGGTGATAGGTGTTTTCTTCAAGTGAGAGCTCAGAGAAAGCAAAATGGCAAAAAAGCCCCGTGGATGGTGATGGCATCATGGAAGGGAGTCCAAGAACCAAGTCTTGAAGGATTTAGAGGTAGGGACAGGTGCAGGGCTGAGGTAAGGGTAAAACATTCACAGTGGGGAAACACATTGAACAAATGAATGGAGATTGGAAGATGATCTCCATGTGCTGGTGGTTTTATTCTTCCAGAGTCTGCCATTCTGCCACATATCTGGCCACTCTGCTGGTGAATTCTCTTTCCTTTTTTCCACAAATAATTTTTAAAAATTATGATAAAATATACATACAATAAAATTTGCCATTTTGGCCATTTTTAAGTGTGTAGTTCAGTGGTATTATGTATATTCACATTATTTCATAACCTTCACCACTATCCATCTCCAGAACAAACGTTTTCATAATTCTAAGTTGAAACTCTACAGCCATTAAACACTAACTCTGTATTAATCCCTCCCTCCAGCACGTGGTAACCATGATTCTACTTTCTATGTCTGTGAATTTGACTATTCCAGGTACTTTTACCTTGTATAAGTGGAATCATATGATATGTCTCCTATTGTGTCTGGCTTAGCATAATGCCTTCAAAGTTCATCCATGTTGTAACAGGTATCAGAATATCATTCCTTTTTAAGGCTGAGCAGTATTCCATTGTCCCTATATCATATTTTATCTATTCATTCTTTGATGGACATTTGGTTTTTCTACCTTTTGGCTATGGTGAATAATTCTGCCATGAACATAGGTGTACAAATATCTGTTCAGGTCCCTGCTTTCAGTTCTTTTGCATATATACCCAGAAGTGGAATTGCTACATCATATGGTAATTTCATATTTAATTTTTTGAGGAACTGCCATACTGTTTTCCACAGCGACTTCATCATTTACAATACCATCAGCAATGCACAGGAGTTCCAATTTCTCCACATCCTCACCAACACTTGTTTTTTCTCCCTCCCCTTTTTATTTTTTATTTTGGTAATAACCCTACTAATGAATATGAAGTGGTGTCACATTGCGGTTTTGATGTGTTCTTCCCTAATTAGTCATACTGAGCATTTCTTTCATGTGCTTATTGGTCACTTGTGCATCTTCTTTGGAGAAATGTCTTAAAATCCTTTGCCTATTTTAAAATTAGGTTTGTTATTGTTGAGTTATAGAAGTTCTTTATATAGTCTTGATATCAATCCATTATCAGATATGTGATTTGCAAACATTTTCTCACTGCTAAGTATGACGTTAGTTGTAGGATTTTCATATATGACCTTTATTATGTTGAGGTAGTTTACTTCTGTTCCTCACTTGTTGAGTGGTTTTATCATTAAAGGATGTTAAATTTTGTCAAATGCTTTTTCTGCATCAATTGAGACGATTGTGTGTGCGTGCTTTTTTTTTTTAAACCTTCAGTCTGTTAATTTGAAATATTACATTGGTTGATTTTTGTTTGTTAAACCATCCTTGCATTCTAGGAACAAGTCCCACTTGGTCATGGTGTGTAATCACCTGAAAAAAATTTTTTTGTTGCTCTTTTCCTCGGAGCAGGCAGCTGTGGCGGTGGTGGCTTATGCAGCAATGGCCAAGATTAAGGCCCGAGACCTTCGCGGCAAGAAGGAGGAGCTGCTGAAACAGCTGGACAACCTGAAGGTGGAGCTGTCTCAGCTGTGGGTCGCCAAAGTGACAGACTGCACGGTATCCAAGCTCTCCAAGATCCAAGTCGTCTGCAAATCCATTGCTCATGTTCTCAAGTTATTAAGCAGACTCAGAAAGAAAACCACAGGAAGTTCTACAAGGGCAAGAAGTACAAGCCCCTGAATCTGCGGCCTAAGAAAATGCATGCCATGCACCCCCAGCTCAACAAGCACGAGGAGAACCTGAAGACCAAGAAGCAGCAGTGGAAGGAGCAGCTGTACCCACTGCGGAAGTACGCGGTCAAGGCCTGAGCCTCCATGAATAAAACACAACTGGCTGACACCGAAAAAAACTTTTTTGTTGTTGTTGTTGAGTCAGAGTTTCATTCTGTTGCCCAGGATGGAGTGTAGTGGCACACTCACGTCCACCACAACCTCAACCTGCAGGGCTCAGATGATCCTTCTGCCTCAGCCTTCCAAGTAGCTGGGATGACAGGCATGCACCACCATGTCCAACTAATTTTTTTTTTTAATTTTTTGTAGCGATGATGTCTCGCTATGTTACCCAGGCTGGTCTCTAACTCCTGGGCTTAGGCAGTCCTCTCACCTGGGCCTCCCAAAGTGGGGGAGATTACAGGCATGAATCACCATGCTTGGCTTGTCATCCTTTTAATATGCTGCTGAATTTGGTTTGGTAGTACTTTGTTAAGGATTTTTGCATTAATATTCATAAAGGATATTGACCTTTAGTTTTCTTTTCTCATAGTGGATTTAGTGTCAGAGTAATTCCAGTCTCACAGATGATTAGGAAGTGTTCCCTCTTCACTTTTTTGGGAAGAGTTTGAGAAAGATTTATGTTCTTCTTTAAATAATTTGTTTGGTAGAATTGTTTGGTAGAATTTTCCATTGAAACCATTTGGTACAGAGGTTTTTTGTTGTTATTGGAGGGTTTTTTTTATTATGAGTCAATCTCATTATAGGTCTATTCATATTTCTATTTATTTATGATTTAGTCTTTTAGATTTTGTGTTTCTTTCAATTTTTCTATTTCATCTGGGTCATCCAATTTTTTGCATATGATTGTTCATAGTACTTTTAAAATCCTTTTGCTGGAGAATTAGTAGTAATGTTCCACTGTAAATAATTTTTGAGCAAACATTTGTATACCAGGCATACTGTCTCAGGCCCTAAAGACTCATCTCTGAGTAAAATCCCATGATCTCACACACCTAATAGTCCAGTGTATTTAAATGTGATTTAGAAACCAAAGTTGTATAGCCCTGCACTTTTCAGAATTATACTTACTATCAATATAGGTTTAAGATATTAATCCCCAAACCACATTCAGTGAAGCCCTTATGATGTATGCAGCATTGCAACCTTCATGTATTGCTACTATAGTATGCTTGTCTCTGGTCTCAGAAAGTGTATGGTAAACAGTCTTGGAGACAGGACCAAATTACAGCACTGCATTCTAGTCCAGCAGCACTCTTCCCATCACACTCAAATTTAAGAATGGAGATGGGACCCTTTTTTTCTTTTTATTCAGGTATAATGTCCACACAATAGAGGGCATGATGTACCCTAATCTAGATACACAGTTTGTTGGGTTTTTACATATGTACAGTAACTTATTGCTTAACGACAGGGTTATGTCCTGAGAAGCGCTTCATCAGGTAACGTTGTTTTTGTGCAAACATCAAAGAGTGTACTTACCCAAGTCTAGATGGTATAGCCTACTACACACCTGGGCTACATAATGTAGCATATTACTCCTAGATTATGAACCTGGACAGCATGTTACTGTGCTGAATAGTAGGCAATTGTAATACAGTGGTATTTGTGTATCTCCATAGAAAGGGTATAGTAAAAATAGGGTATTATGCTGGGCTTGGTGGCTCAGCCTGTAATCCCGCACCTTTGGGAGGCTGAGGTGAGTGGAT